ACCTTCTATTCTAGCCTTCTAATAATAAGAAAGGAAATTACACTTTCCAATTGATAAGAAATCGGATAATAAACTTAATTTATTAAATTCAATTTGATATATACTTTTTAGGGATGAGAATATAGATAAATCGAGTGATTATAATATATATAATATATATAATAAAAGAAATAAGAGATATATATTATTATTAAAGCATTTTAATATAAATACTATAGTTTTATAGTTTCTATATTTATTCAAAATAAGAAGTTTTGAATTTTCCGGTTGAATAAAGGTAATTTAAGGGATATAGATCTTTTTCAATTATTCTAAAGCTATAGTATCTATAGTTTATTTATTTTCTATAATAATAAAATTCTAATCCTTAAATAGAGTTAAATTGATTAGAAATTATTGTTATTGGATTGATTTTTTTTTATATATTATAAGAAGAATAATATTTTTTCTATTAATTAAAATATATTTTATAAAAAAGATCCAAATTCGAGATTTAGATTGCTTTTTTTAAATAAATCTTTAATTAATACTTTTTATTATTAATTTATTAAAATCCTGATTCTTTATTATACCTACTTTATTTATATTCTATTTATTAATCAATTTAATAACCTTGATTTCAGGGATTATAAGATTTTGGAATCACTTTTTAATAATATTAGATATAGTATCTAAAATTTATATAAAATCAATTTAATATTACTTCTTAATTCTAATATTAGAATATTTTCAAAAAAAACTATATATTTATTTCTTTCTAAATAAGGGATTCTCTTTTTATATAATAAGAAAATGCTTTATTATCTCTCTAATTTAATAATATATAAGATTAATATTAAAAGCTTTTTATATTAATATTTATTTTGTTAATTAATTCTTTTAAATTGAAAATAACTTTTGAAGTATTTGGGTATCTTTTTGATATAAAAATTTATTATATATTCGATTATAAAATATAGTATATAAAATATTATAATTTAAGCTAATTTTTTATATATTTGTTTTATTTGTAATTACTCTAAGAGCTTTTGTAATATTATTTTTAATATATTTATTCTTTATATTATAATTATAATAATATCAAAATTTCAAATTAATTGATTAAAGTATTATTGAGTTATTCAAAGTGTAAATTTTATAATTACTCAAAGTAGTGTGGTTTTTGAGGTGGTCGAAAAGAGGGGGTGATCGGAAAGTGGGGTAGTTGACTTACACATAGCTTTTTTTTTCTGAATTGATGAGTCTCCTGGTTTTACTTTGATCTACGGGTATGATATATATAGTTTCTCAGTAGACTATTGTTATGCAGAGAATCATGGAATTTCGCTTGCTAGAATCCCTTGCACTTTTGTGGATATTCTATCGATCTATAGTTTAATATTTATGAATTGGTAGAGAGTATATTGACTCAATAGACTTGTAAGTAAGCGATATATGATGTAAATACTACATAGGAGTTTATATACTGTTGTACTGATTGATTTGTAACAAACATTTTCGTATTAGTTATTCAATCTGACATAGTTTAGATTAAATAATGATCGTTGATTCTTGCAACTTGTAATCCCCTTATTAGGGACGTATCATCAGCTCTAGTGGCGATTACGGTCTTTTAACTTGCTAGCCTGGCTTGCTGACTATGGCGATATAGGTAATGCTACTTGGTTTCAAATTTGGATGACGGAAGCGGTGGCAATAATTGTACTTTTAAGAGTGAAGTTTTTCTTTTTTGCCCCTATTTTTCATGAAAATGAGGTTATGAGTCGTAGTCTTGATTATATTAGTATGATTCAAGGTGTTCCTGGATATTTTGCTTCTCTTTAAACCGAGACAACTTTCAAGCCTTTTTGTAATTTCTTATAGAAAAGGTGCTTGAGACTTCAATATTCGTTCCATCTTCAACATCTTAACGCAAGGTACACCAGGCTCCTCATATATACAGCTAGCTCGGATACTTGCCCCGCTGTCTCCGTAATGGAATTCGAAGACGCTATAGCATGACAACAAGCAAGTGGCAGAGGAATTTCTGCTTCAGCACAAAGCATAAGCCACCTGAGTCATCATAATTTTCTATTAGACTTATACGAATAGGCAATTACAGCGCCAACGCATGAGAAGTACGCAGTTTTATACCTTGAAAGCTTTAAGTGAGCTAGGAGATTCACCCAGATATACCACACTTTACCATACTGTTCGAATGTAGAATCTTCTCTAGAGGACCTGAAGCCACGGCAGATCCTTCTTCAAATACGAGAACTTGTGAGATAAAGCTCAAGTCGGAAGATATCTTATCCGTTGGCTATCGTATAAATACCTTGAGCAGGCTGGGGAATAGATTACGGCGGCAGGGCCTATGCCTGGTGATATTGAAAATGATGAGTTTGTTTCAAGTATGACTTTCTACAGGACATGGTGGGAAGCATAGACTAGGAAGTGAGGGCATTCGGAGGTTGAATTAGATTGATTTTATCGAAGCTAGCTATGAGAGGAAGAGCTTTATATAATAGAGATCTTACTAGTACTGATTAGGGCGAGCTCCCCTGCTCTACTCTAGCACCACGTGAACCATACTTTAACAGAGTTCCTATTATGGACAGCATGTTCATCACCCCTTTTTAAGCCTAAAAAGCTTAATTTAACCGGAAGTTGGATCTGCATTTATGACTTGCCACATGATCAAAGCCTATGCCACGTTGCAGCTTGCACGGCAGTTTCTATATTCATACGAAATTTCCCCGCGCCCTCTTTGCGTCTAGGTCAGCTTTGAGATGTCATGTTATGGTGTCTTTTTGGGGCAAGCAGTGACAAAATTCAGCTTCTTCGTGCAGATCGTTAGTTTCGAGTATAGATCGTATAATTGTACAATTGCACAATTCTACAATCGAAGAATCTGATCATTAATTGGAGTATTATGAAAGAGTAGAAGGTGATAGAGCTTATGCAAGAAAGGTCTTTCTATATGTGTTATATATATTGTAGACAAATCTAAACGATTATATATAATAAGTATAGTAGGTTATTATATAGTAGTAGAGATCAGTGTAGACAATAGTATACTATAGTGAAACTGTGGCGTGTATTAGCATATTGATATTGCAGCTAGTATGTATAAAAAGGAGATTATACTACTCTTGTATATATTCATATATTAAAGAATACTAATAATATATTGAAATATTAGAATCTAATATAAAATATATATTCCTATCCAAATTAAACTAAAAATAAAGGATTCTCATTTAATTTAAAATAAGAAATAGAAATTTATTACCTAATACAAATAGAAATATATTTTTTATATTGGATTCTAGTATTTCAGTATATTACTAATAATATTAAATAACTAAATAATATTGAATACTTTCAGTGATATTGAATTCTGTACCACATATGTACATATTTCGAAAAAATTCGATACATACCACTAAACTAACCCGTATACGGAATACGGGAAATACTATTATCTACACTGGTAGAGATATAAGAGAATATATATAAGATCAAACAATACAAATATAGAGAATTAAATTGAGAGTATAAATATTGATTATCTTTCTAGGATTTATAGATAGAAGAATTATAAATACTAGCTATATAAGTCAAATCACTTCCAGGTTGCGTTTTCCGCGCATACTATAAAGTTATTTAAATGACTTATAGAAATATATAAAAAGCAAAATGAAGATTGGAAATAACAATAGATGATAAAATTGGTACGTTATTATTGTCACTGTTATTATTATTAGTTTTTTTCCTTTCCTTTCTATTTCTTCTATATAATAATAGGTTATACAATTTATACTCAAAACTAGTAATCTATATTAAGAACTAGTAATATACACTGAATAATTGAAGTTTATCACATCTCAAAAAGACGTTATATGTACAGAGTTTCTCTATTTTCAACTTCATTATTCAGCTTCGAGTAATATACTATTACTAGATAGATGTAGGTAGAGATACGAGGAGAACCATCACTTCATACTAGCCCGACAATATTTGTAGTAGATAGAGTATTATTTACATAATCGCTTCCACTTGGTTCATAAAGATAAGCTTATCAATTAAGGTTAACTAATTTTAGCTCCTCGGACATTCTATAGCGCTAATTCATGAAGTGTTAAGTCTGTTCCTTCCAGGGGTAACGATTCTAGGCTCTACTTAAATTATTAGACAACACAGCACTCCTGTGGAATGTCTGAATTCAGAAATTCCTCCCCTGGAATAAGAAAGCAACCCCGCATTTCATCAGTCCCATCAAGTCGATTAATATGAAAGCTTAAAATACGACACGGCCGATTTGTCATATTGTTTGGGTCGCGTTCGTTTCAATTAGCGGCGGCGTGGAAAGGTCTAGGTTTCAGTATATCATGTTCATTTAAAGAATTCGCTCGAGACTAGCAAGGATTAGCATTTTAAGCTTTTTGTGGGGTTAGGGTTGTGGAAAAGACGGTAGTTGTTTGATCTTTATTTCAACGGATCATTCATTAAATGCCTTGTATTGCTGTCAAATACTTCCATTTTGAGGGTTTTTGGTTTCATTCAAAGGGAAGCCAATTGGCTCTAAAATAACCTTAAGTAATGATCCTTGCTAACATTGAGCGAATTTTCAAAAGAACATGGTATATACCAAGTCACTTCTGTGCTAGTGAGCATACAAGAACACGATTTAGAGGGATCAGAGTAGGAGAATAGAGGCAATATGCTACCCCATGCATTGTTCAAAGAAATTTGGGCTCCAAATTCACTCTACTTGCGGGACATTATCACCATATTAAGGGAATCATGACCATATTATCCAAGAAAGGCAGGCAGATCTGCCTCTGAAATGACAATGATTTTGTGTGGTACGGACTTGCCCTTGTCAAGAAAGGTGATTGAAGGGTTGTGTATGGTTGGATGAAGAGAATAAAGACAATGACTTTTTCCCCTTCTACAAAAATTCTTTAGCATCATTCTTTGCATCTTTCACACCCTTGCGGTTTCTTTTGCTACGAACAATGTTGTATCGATTTTCTTTCCTGGCGCTTGCCGCTCAAGTGGCACTTGCTGCTATCAATGTCAATGTTGGCACAACTTATCAGACCATGGACGGCTTCGGATTCTCTCAAGCATTCGGTCGAGCGAATGATCTTTACAACCTTCCATCTACCCAACGAACCCACGCACTTGACCTTCTCTTTAGTCCGACTGCTGGAGCAGGCTTCACCATCCTTCGAAATCGCATTGGTTCCGGGGGATCAGGCGACAGTATTGAGCCAACCAGTCCCGGTTCACCTAGTGGCACCCCCAAGTATGTTTGGGATGGCAGTGACAGCCATCAAGTATGGGTCTCACAACAAGCAAAGGCTTATGGAGTGACAAGATTCTATGCAAACGCCTGGAGTGCACCCGGCTTTATGAAAACCAACGGCAAGGAAACTAACGGAGGTTACCTGTGTGGTATGACCGGCGAATCCTGCTCGTCAGGAGATTGGATGCAAGCATATGCCGCGTTCTTGATCCAGTATATCAAATATTACGCTGCTGTTGGTATTGATTACAAGTATTTAGGCTTCTTGAATGAACCTGACTACACGTAAGTACTGTATTTGCACCCTCTAGCGATTCAACGCTAACAAAAACTGCTCAGCACGGCCTATTCCTCCATGTTGGCTTCGGGTACACAAGCAGCAAGCTTCATCAAAGTACTTCATCCAGCTCTTACTGCCGCTGGCCTAAGTGAGGTCGGTATCAACTGCTGCGATATGGTTGGGTGGGAGGACCAGGTTACTGCTACGGCGCAACTTGTTGCAGCTGGTGTCGAAAACATGATTGCGAAAATTACATCCCATGGCTATTCAAGCGACCCAACCTCGCCCATCAAGACTTCTCGCCCAACTTGGATGACGGAGAAAGAAACGACAGATGCCTGGAATGCAAACTGGTACTCGACTGGATCCAGCTCTGATGGCTACACGTGGGCAAATAATATCTATACGGCCATCGTCAAAGGAAATGTCAGTGCTTACTTGTACTGGGAGGGTATCGAATCCACAACAAACAATGCTGGGCTCATCCAAATTGCTGGAACAAACGTAAATCCATCCGCCAGACTCTGGGCATACGCACACTTTAGCCGATCGGTGCGCCCCGGTGCTGTCCGTGTTGCTACTTCTGGGGCTCCAGCTGCGATCAACACCAGCGCATTCAAGAACACCGACGGCACTGTTTCCGTGCAAATGATCAATACCAACAGTGCCTCCACTGCCGCTCAAGTAACGACCACTGGCTTTTCAGCATCGAGCGTCGTCGCGTATGTGACTTCTCAAAGCCAGAATTCTATGGCTAGTCTCAGCGCCACTGTCAGTGGTGGTGCCGTCAATGCTACAGTCCCCGCCCACGGCATGGTCACATTCATTTTGTCTGGTAAGAAAGCCAGTGGGAGTGATAAGGTCGAGGCTACCACTTTAGTCAAGGTACCAACGCCAACGACCTCTCCTCTGGTTGAAAGCACAACTGCGACTTCCGCCGAGGCTACTCAATCCCAGTACGGAAAATGTGGCGGAACAGGATGGACTGGCCCAACGATCTGTGCTGCTCCGTATAGTTGCAAGATCACGAGTGACTACTATTCCCAGTGCCTGTAAGGCGTAAACTCCTCGTCGCTAGACTGAGCGAACACTAGTCAGGAGGAGAATGCACCATATCCTGCATATTCATCCTTTCGCTTCCTTTAACTTTTACTTTCAACCCAAAAATGTTTATACTTGGCCCTTATCTTCTATGTAAATTTTATTATCACATTAGTGTCAATCAGATTAAATTGCACCCGAACAACAATCGTTTTTGTGATAAATCCATAGGTACTATTTGTCAATTTCATGTAACAATTATCTTGAAATCACTACGATAATGATGAGACGGGCCGGAATGCGAACTATGCATAACGGACGCGGACTCTGATGAAAAAGTGAAGTCCCAAGCTTGACTCGAGCACGACTCAAGCACGATCTTTGCTTTGCCTTCGACGGAAAAACACTATCTCTAATACATGCACCTCGTGGGGCGGATCTAAACAGACATTAGTGACCAGGCTTGTATATCAGTCAATGTCTTTCGTGCTGTCAAAGTAATATACCCGAGAGTTTCGTTAGCATCCAGGGCTGGAAGCGCAAGCAAGAGCAGAGTAAAGCTTGTATTGGGAAGAGCTGTGGCGGGTCCTGTCGCTCTAGTTTTGTTGCTGCTGCCGGCAACTATATAGTAACTATCAGACACAAGCTTTACAGTGCCGGTGGTAGCGGTCTTGACAGGCAGTGTTGCAGGGTAAATATTCTTGACTATGGCGCTGCTCGGGATAACTTAGAGTCAAGTAAGAAAGAATCGAGGGACCCGTCTACCAGCCATGTCGTCACGCCCTGGTCGAAAAAAGCGGCACATCAAAAAACAATGCTACTCTCAATCATTTTTAAAATCAAAAATTTACACAAGAAAGTAATCAAAAGATTTATAATTTGAAATTTAAGGGGAAACACTTGAAGCAATAATGAAATCTTTAAAACTACCGAGGTGTACACTGTACGGAATAAAGTTATGTTATACCGCCTTCATCAGCTAGGATTAGTTTGTGTGGGCAGAATAATTCTATTAGTAGCAAAATAAAAGCGGTGTAACTAAAAGTGGATTTCAAAAGACTTGCCTAGGTACGCCGTGCGGCCAGAAAGTATGCAATTCCTGCCTCAATAGAATTAAGGCACTAATAGGGAAACTACCTAGTATTTTAAAAGGGGTATAAATCAATGGAATTTGTACTGAAAATAGTAGGGCTTCAATATAAGCAAACTATTCAATGGATTCATTTTTCCAAATCTCTATTGAATATAACAGGATTGAAAAAAGCAATGGATTCCATTAACCTACTAAAGCCGATATAATGTATTTAGCACCAGAATTGCATACTTTCTGGCCGCACGAGTACCTGCTCTTTCGACCTTCGTATATCAGTTACACACAACTCCACCAAAAGGAAGCTTTTGACTATCCAGCATCATAAAACTCCGATTTAGCGGCAGGCGCAGTACCGAATGGACCACTTGGCATCATGCCCGTTGACCAGGGTCCCCGTCGTCCCAAGCTTACTCTGACCCACCCAATTCTTCTGAACCCGGCTCATCAGATGCAGTGATCCCACATGCGTATAGTTCCCAACATGTGCATGCTAACTCGGAGAAAAGCTTTTTAGAACTCAAGGTGGCTGCTGATATCATCAGCGCCACATTTCCTTTTGTACTCTCAAATAGCAAAATGAGATCTTTTCTCTGCACCTAGAGCTATCTGATGTATAGAAACACTTTTCACATATGCTTCTGTATCCTAAACTGCGATTATGGCGTCAGGGCCGGAGCTGGCTCCGTTTGGCTACTATTCCCCTCCTCATTATACTATCAATCGACTTTTTCCGAACGGTCTCTCTCAGTCCACCGTTGAAACGAGTTTCTCTATCCTCGGCCCCATCCGACATTGTCACTAGTAAAGATCGCATATTCATTGCGAGTATGCATTGGAACAATGAGATCATTTTACGCTCTCATTGGAGTGCTGCTCTACTAGATCTAGTGAGACATTTCGGCGTAGACAATGTCTATATCTCCATTGTAGAAAGTGGCAGTTGGGACAACACCAAAAGTGCTCTGAGGGATTTAGATATGGAATTGGGGAAGCTGGGGGTTGAGAGAAGCATTGAACTATTGGATACTACACACAAAGATGAAGTGGAACGGATACCTGGTCCAGAAGAAGAGGGGTGGATACAAACGAACAGGGCCAGAAAAGAACTACGTCGAATTCCCTATCTTGCAAAACTGCGAAATAGAGTTATGGAAAAGCTGAAAAAGCTTGCAGACAGAACAGATGGTCAAACAGGACGATCATTTGATAAGATACTGTGGCTAAACGACGTTATTTTCACGGTATCTTAACCATTCGCTTCTTTCCAATACGTTGTACAGTCCTTCAATGAACTAATTCTCCTGACTCGGTTTATAGACTGAAGACGTCGTAACTCTGCTTGCAACAAGAGATGGCGACTACGCAGCTGCCTGTGCAATTGACTTTTCCAAACCTCCTCTCTTTTATGACACCTTTGCTCTCCGCGACATCGAAGGCGAAAAACCAATCACACAAACCTGGCCCTTTTTTCTGGCTTCCGAATCGCGGAATGCGATGAAGATAAGCGCGGCAGTACCGGTTAGATCCTGTTGGAATGGAATAGTAGTCTTCCAAGCGGAACCATTCTATGAGAACCCATCCTTGCGTTTTCGGGGTGTACCAGATAGTCTTGCGCAGTATCATATAGAAGGGTCGGAATGCTGCCTTATTCACGCAGATAACAATTTGAGTTTGACGAAAGGCATATGGCTTAATCCGAAGGTAAGGGTTTCGTACAATTCTGAAGCTGATAGTGTTGTAAATTCAAAAAGAGGAAAGTGGCCGAGCAAAAGAGAAATTCTAGAGGGGGTTTGGAGTAACAGGTGGGCTCGATGGACAGGATTTCTGAAGAGGTTCACCGAACGTTTTTCAGTGGCAATGAGGGTGCAACGCTGGCGCAGAGAGGCATTCGTTGTAGGACAAACGGAAGTTAATGAGAAGGGGGTCTACTGTCTGATAAATGAGATGCAGGTCCTTGTGGAAAATGGTTGGGCACACATATGATTATGTCTACGATTTTGAATATATAAATCATTTTTCTTAGGGTTGAAGCAGCGTGTATGAGAAACGAAGGAAATATATTTGATTGGTTTTAATTCGATATTCACTTTCCTCTTTTTGGTGATTCAAACAGCCTGTTACTCAATATTACTCCCGAAGCCTCTGTTGAAAAGCTTCCATCTCACTCTTCACTTTCCGCCACTTCTCTCTTATCTCCTTCGGCCCCGAACGATCCCATTTCTCATGTAAGCTCTTCACACCTGCCCCCCAGTCCTTCAAGCTCGGCCACGTAGCACTCCACTGCCACCCCAATTCAAACCACGGCATTGGCCCCTCCCTTCTAAATGCATAATTCAACAAACTCTGCTCCATTGTATGCGGATCAAACCTCCTCCAATGTCTCATCACACTCATCAAGTAGTCAAACATCTCCTTGCTCGGTGCTGCAATCCAGAACCCAGCTGAGAAACTTTCCGTCGGGGGTGGGGGGAACGGGTGGTTTCTTTCTCCGGAGAGAGCATTGTCACTGCGGGCGGCGAAGTTATAATTGCTTGGTATTGGCTTTTCGTCGGACTTTACCTCTTGGGTCCTATGTAGTAGTGAAGTCATAGGAGTTTGTATTATCACTTCGTCGAAAATCCCATCAAGTGGCTCAATAATCAATGTATCAGCGTCTACGAACAACACCCGTTCGTACTCTACCATTTCAAATATTCGCAGTTTGGTGAACTGGTCTTTCCATCGTGTTACTCCTGTCGATATCCAGAAGGAAAGGGGTACATCAGATACAACTTTCACCGTTGCACCGTCGAGTTCTAAACGTCTAAGTTTTGAAGTGGCAACGCTTTGGGTGCAGATAACAAAGAAGGGAATATCAGTTCTCTTCGACCGCGTTTGGGGATCGTGCAAGAGCTGATATGTCAGTGTTCTGGCCGCTTGAAAGTAGAAGTCGTCTTCTGGGAGCGCGGAGGGGTCTTCGCCCCCGGATAGGAATGTGGCGATTGCGACTTTTGACGTGCGATTGGTTATTTTGAGGGGTGCGTAGTTGGGAATTTGGGCGTAGTGAGGTTTGGAGAATTTGTAAAGGTATATCAGCGTAAGAAGGAGGAGTGACAATATGAGGAGAAGGTGACGCCCATGAGGACTTATCCTATGTACGGTCATGACTGGTTGAATTGTAAGGAGTTACAGCAGGTTCCAGCTCTAAGGTCACTGGTCACAACAATTGATCGAAACTATCCAAGGTCGCAGAGTTCAGCGAACGGCTGCTTCGAAGCTCTACCGAGCACAGTATAGTAGTTTCAACAATTACAAGGCCACTAATAGACCGACTATAAGATGACCGTAGATAAATTTTCCAAGGAACGATCTATTATATGATTTTTGAAACATTAGGCATTGTACTTTTTCTTCCTACGAATAGAGCTTACAAATTGAATGAAGTTCTAATAACAAATGACTTCCAATGTGTCAAAATATCAACAGGAAAGTATGAGCATGATGGGTTAAGTTACAATTCAGAATCGGTAACATTAACCATGCGATAGATACCGTTGTTTATGTTGTGAACTCGGCCTGTTAAATCTTGGTTTGCAAGAAGGGAGATCAGTAATGCACAAGTGACATCTTCCTTGTAGGAAAAAAGTGTCGATTACTAAATACGAGCGGTTTGGTTACATTCGGGTACAGGTGATAGGACCCACATTTGCTGATCTATCACATCAAACAAGATTTTTAACAATGGATTGAAAACTAATGATACATTATCACGCTACAAAAACATGGCTTATGATTTTGTAAGAGTATAGAGTATGTTCACTATATTTGTTTGGTTTTAAAATGTCTTAAGTAATTGTTGTAGTCTAACAGAATACTTTAAGATATCCTGATATGATGAGGTAAAAATACGCAAGCAAAAGCAAATGCGTCTAATTGTCTTGAATAAAGCTTAGTTAGACAACGATCCACAAGCCAAAGAACAGATTTTAGCATCAGTAAATTAACCACTCCGATACCCCTGCAAACGGATATCGGCTCAAGCTTTTGATTAGATGTATGCGGCTTTAAAGTATACAACTCTGGCGCTGAGAGAATCAGGTCAGTCCTCTTGTAATTTACCATCTTGTGGATCTAGCGGAGTCGTATGACTTTCTTGCCGCACGAGTAGAAAAGATTCAGCCTCTAGTAAACAAGTCCACCTCCCCGCATTGCAGAAACCGCCACTTCTCGAACATCAAAACCGCTTTGTTTGAGCGATTAATACATTTTAAACTTTGATTACTTGAGGATTGTTTAGTCAATTAACTTGAAATCCTAGTATAGACTTATGACTTGATAGTAAAACGTATAGAATAGTCTTTAGTAGGTTTTAATATTAATAATTCTGATATTGATTTAATATAGAGATATTCTAAGATTTATATAAATAAGAATGTGAGAACATTTTTAATAAGTATCATTATTATATTATGAATTTATAAACGATTCAATGGGTAATATTTAAAATATGTTACGGAAATAAATATATTATATAATACTATATAACTCAATCTAGTAATCCTCTAAAGTACTCTAGTCTCATAATTATAAAATACTCTTTTATTTTTAGTATTCAATAAAACCTATTGTCTAAATAAATAACTATATTAATTAATCTAGATATCTTCATACATAATTCTTATATTTATATTTTAGTTTAATCAAGTTTATTATTACATTCACCTATTTCTTAATCAAAGTATTAATTAATATAGCTATATTACAGGAGCTGCACCTAAAATCACATGAAAGTATTTAGAGATCTTTGAAAATAATCAAAATTAAATTTCAAATAGGATTTCAATAAAATTGTAATTAATTATATTCTTATTTTTTAAAACTGATTAATGAGTTAATTGACTTAATAAATCGATTAACTTTTAATTATAGAATATCTGTTCTATAATTACTAATAAAAGTACTACTTAATTCACATATATCTATTAATTAATCTTTATTTACTAAATAATTATATTTATTATTTAATCTATAATAATTACTAGTTAATTTATGGCTATTATTCTATCTATACTTATTATAAAATGTCACGGAATTCACCGTCTTGTGCAACAACACGTGATTGAGCATAGCACTCCTTCGAAATACTTATTCCTATAATTACTATATAGTCCTTTATTCATTTCATATATAAATCCTAATATCTAATTAAACAACTTTATTACTTAATCAGAATATATAAGATAGATATAATCCTTATGATCATATCTCAAATCAATCTAGTTTATTATCACTATACATACCTATTATATAATCAAAGTGACCAATCGACATAGCTATCCCTCCATAATATAAAATAAATACTAATTAATGAAAAATAGATATTTATCTTTATTTTTTCTCTATAATACTATTTTTATAGATTCTAATATCAAAATCTAATATTTGTGTTATAATTCATGTTACGGCGCGAATACCTTCGTAATATTATATATATATATATAATCTTATATATATACAAGCGATTATATTTCAATTGAATTCGATTATAATAATTATAAAAGATTATATAGATTAAAAGATAAAACTATCTAAATATAATTCTTTTAAAACAAGAAAGAGAATTATATAGGTCGCTCAAGTATTGTTGCGATACGAGTGAATATACGTATGTGAGGCGCTAGCTCACTAGCGTACGCACGTATTGCATATAGCTTTCGTTGTTACGTGATTGGAACCAATAGAAGTTGTAAGCTTTACCACTACGCCATGCACGCAATCTGTCCAAAAGGCACAGTACTAGGCCACTTATATCCGCCCCCCGCTTATTTTATAGTGTCACATATTGCACCACTCTTTTTTAATATTAAATATTAAATTAATCAAGAATTATAAAATTATCAAATTTGAATAAATAAATAATGTATTCTTATATTATTAATATATATAAAAATTATTCTATTGTTGATTTTCAATCTGTTAATATTTAGTATGCTAGTTATTTGCTATAATATAAGTCTCAATTTTAGAAGATATATTAGTTTTTAAATTATTAAATAATTTTTTATTTAATATATTCTAAATTATTTATAAACAATTCTTTAATTTTTGATAAATATATTTTGATTTGTTTTTATTAATAATAATATCAGGAAATGTTTTATATATTCTTATCTTTAGGATTTATTATATATATTTTATAGAATTGAAATTAAAAGAATAAAAAAATCTCTTTTTTTTAAAATCAATTTTGTATTTTATAAATATAATAAATAGAAGTATTATTCTATATAAATTTATATTTTGAATTAAGTTTTTTGAAAATAGAACCTATTTCAATTTTAAAAATTTCAAAATAAGATTTAATATTATATCTATATTTTGTATTCTCAAAATCTCTATTTATTATATATAGATTACTTCTCTTAATATCTCAAAAGCTTTTTTAATATATAATCTTTATATTCTTATTTGTATTATATATTTCGATTATTTCTAAATTCTATTTCTGAAAACTAATATAAAAGTATTATTTTAATCTTTTTTTTTTTTTTTTTTTATAAAGTATTTATTTGATTATACAATTAGATTTCATTCTTTAATTATCAATTTCCTATAAGTTAAGTATTATTTAAACTATTTAGTAATATATACTAATATAAATTCTGAATTTTTTATATTTCTAATTAATTATACTATATTCAATTAAAATCCTTTTAATAATTTTAATATTACAATTAAATCTAACCTTTTAAATAATCTATTTATATATAACTTTTGAAAACAATTATATATATTATAATAGTATTTATTTATTTTGTTTAATATATAATTTAGATTAACTAATATATAATAGATATTACCATTATTGTATACCAGATTTTGTAAAAAAGTATATTATATAATTCTATAAGAAAATCCAAAGTTTTTTATAATTTGATAAAAATTGAAGCTTTCTTTTGCTTTGCTAATTATTTTGCTATATATATATAAAGTAAAATGTTTATAAGAATTATTTTGTATACCTTCAATATATTATATATTATAAATTGAAAGCATAACTAAAATAATAAAATGTAATTATAGGAGTGTAATGCGTGAAAAAACGCGTTTTATAAAGTTTCGGCTAATAGAAGTGCATGGTGACTGTATCAGGGATTGGTTCCTGATAGCTTACTATTATATATATATACCTGTAACATTCGTAGCTCTAGAGCCTAGAATAGATTAGACACAATATCAATGAATACAGCATACCTATTATGAAGACATCATAATCACCACGGAGGTGATACCAACAATTATATCATTTGTACGTTCTAATAATTAAAGATATCAAAAATCCTTGAATACCGTTTTCAGTATTAGTTTTTGGTAAAGTGACTTGAGATAATATGGATATAATCTATACATACTATTCGTAGTATTAATAAATAGTCTTCCCGAGAGACATTACAGTCGCGGAGCGAAAGTTGAATCATTTAGTCAAAACATAAGTCTTTACTCAATACATTCTACGAGACTACGATGCGAATACTTCTAGGTAGATAACAATACTTTTCAATACATTAGGATTGATGGTTAAGAGAACAATGAGCATGGTGATGTAGCGTTTCGAATAGCGATCCATTATCAATATTGAGTACTCTCTATTTTCTCTACACAAAATATCATGCAGGGAAAACTAATCAAGCGAAAAACTGTTGTAGTTTTCTAGACAGGATATAGATCCATTGATGAAATACTAATGATGCACTCTATCATGCAAGTACTTCCAAATAGAGAGATAGCTGATGCTATGCCAGACGGACACGAAATGGAAGAACTGATGATTGGAAAAACAAGTGGTGGAAGTATACGAGCACACAGGCTTGACGTTCAAGAGAGATTAGTAGATGACCAGTTTTCCAGGGATTAAAATATGTGATGCAAGTTCTTCCAAACAGAGGATTGTTATCCTTCACAATATGGGGTATATGATGCTGTGTTCGATGATTAGAACAACAGCTGGTAAGCTGGCATCATTGTCAAGTAACATACCTTACAATTTATGTGTTTGACGGCAGATATTTGTTATCCTTGCCAGAAAACGAGTATGGCCTGCCTCTTTTGCAGTCCTGCCATGATTATAAAAGGCATATCTTTTCCTGCCAATCCTCAAAACAACACCATCAACAACCACATTTACAATCAATCATTCAGCACTTCGAATCCTCAAGTCATTCATCATGCAGACCACCATCCTCATCACTGCCTTTGCCATCTTCGGCGCCATGGCTACTCCGGCCCCAAGCCTCTTGGGCATTGAAGTCATCCGCGAGGATAATGTAACCTTGGTTCGTGAAGTTGTAAGTCTCAAAACCACATCTCAACTTCAATTGCTGTGACTAATGTGTTTCCAGCCACGCTCATTGAACGCACGATCGTGCACCAACTGTGTTCACGTTGGAGGCGAGTGCACAATTGGAGAGGGTAACTGCTACAGCTCTGAGCATGCTTATTGCACCGATTGTGGTAACGGACGTGTCATCTGTGTTGATACTGCTGGGGGTTCTTGCGCTGCTCCATAGGCATATACAAGCGGTATTATATTCGGCACTTCGGCTTGGAGTTTACTCTGTTGATGAAGGAGTGGTGGAGGAATCACAATCATCTTCTGTATCTTAAAGGCCTAGATATCAGTCGACTGTCATTACCAAATACTGAAATAAAGCTTTTTGGCATATTCCTGTGAAGATAGTAATTAGATACTTTGGTTTAAGGTGAGGGAACGTAATGTATCGATGTTATCACGGTCTTGAACGTAAGTCATAAGAAGCAGCGGGGACTGTCAGAGTGAAAGTAGAAGGATCTTTCAGTGAAAATTCATCATAAGCTTTCGACTATTTGTTAGCCCTGTTTTATAAAAATCCCGGGGTAATTTTCTCAAGAGGCAAGCATTCGAACTCTATGAATGATAGCGAAAATTTTCCGGGAATAAGAGAATCAATAGATTTAGTCGAATTGAAAGGGGACTAGATGAAAGGTACAAGTCAGTTTTACCTTCATGATAACTATTCAGTCACGTTAAAAAGGCCTGTTGATATGAGAAGGATACGAATGACGTAGAACCTAGAATGTAGGCTTTGGTTGTCAATATGTATTCCGTTTAAGGAGCTAGCTAATTACAGAAAGGAGCGAGCCTTATATAGACCTTGCTGTAGGACTAGCTCCTTTGATGTTAATTCGAAAGTACTATTAACAATCCTTACTACTTTTACTCATCACATAATCGCATACCTAATAGTAGGAATTGACAAGTCTCTAATTCGACAAGTCAACTTATATACCATATCATTAAAACTGCAGTAACCTTATAATTTTGATGGAAGGAAAATTCGAAATTATATAATCGAGTCAAGTTTCGATGTCTGGAAAGGAAGATCTCTTATCACTATCCACCGGCCAGAAAAGATACAATATTAAAACAGGAAGCTCTCTCTCATCACTCGTCTGATATTGTCATTAGTTTTTGTACGTGAGGGGCATGCATATAAAATATGCGCAACCTATTAATGACAATAACACAAAGTATAGTAAAATCTATCTACAAGAATATCGTTTTTATAGTCTTCTTTAAGAATATAGAAAGGTATTTAACTAATCCCAATCCAATAGTAATCCGCTTCTAATTAGTTTCAATCCAGTTATAAGTTCACAACAATTTTAATGTTGTCTCAAATGACTAAAATTTTAACATGTCTAGTATATAATGATCATATTCGAGCGATAGAACTCCTAGGTAGTCCAATAGGAATATATATAACCACAGAATCGAAAAAACATAAGGATATTCTAATCGAGAGGCTTTAAGAACATAAATCATTTTTAGGCTTAAAAAACATATTCTTATAGAGTGTTCGCTTTTCTATGGGGGTCCTTATAGAGAGGTTTTGCTGTGCTTCTCCAAGAGCGAGTTCAAGGAAATGATACGATGATGATGCTAATATGATTATCAATGCATATGTGGATTCCATCCGGCCCATTCGGAACAGAGATATCTCGCACAGTCGATCAGTTTAGGTTAGACGACAAGGATATCTTGCAAGCAGTCATTCGGCCCGTAGAACAGGGATTCCATTAGCGCCGCGGGTGCACACGAGCGGCACAGCTCGCCTCGTGACTTCACGATACGAGATACGATGTAACTTCTTATCGTGTACCGTCTGCTATTGGTACAAGATATACTAGCGAGGGGATCGCTCATGTGATAGATGCCAAGCTTATCAGACGATTCTTATTGGTCTGGAAGATAGAGGGTAGAGATTAGATGAATTAGGGAAAATTCTTGTCAATTGGGATGTGGATTACTTTTGTACGCGAGGAGTGTGTATTACTGTGTTGAATAGTATTGCTATAAGGTACTGATAGATATTGTGCGGTAGAGTTACGTGCTACTGCAACGAGACCAAGGAAAGAATTATCAGTCTCTGCTAGATCTGCTAAATTTGACTGTGAAGCGAGTGCCTATAGCAATTATGCAAGATATGGAAATGGGCGACGTGGAAGTCTCAGATGAGGTTGTAACTATTGCTACTGGTTCCAAAACTTCATCGGACAGAGAGAAGATAGACAAACTTGAGGCGCGCGACTCGTTCTCACAAAAAGAACCCGTTGTGAGCATGACCCCCAAAGACTCTACTCCAGCAGCGACAGAACAACCAGTCAGTGTAAATAATGAGCCACAGTACCCTGAGGGTCTCAAAATCGTCGCCATTATACTGGCCCTGTGTTTGGCTGTATTTTTGGTGGCGCTGGATCAGACGATTATTTCGACTGCTATTCCGAAGATTACTGATCATTTCAAAAGTACGGGAGATATTGGTTGGTAAGTGTATTGATGCTGTGTGTTAGGCGTCGGATCGATGTTTTAAGGTTTATTTGTATGAGTGATTGCTGATGTCTGTAGGTATGGATCAAGCTACTTACTTACGAAAGCGGCGTTGCAGCCTAGCTTTGGGAGGATATACTCAATCTTCAGCGTTTGTGTGCACTGCCTTTTCCAAATATAGAACTGGTTTTTGGCTCACGATTTGATAGATCAAATATACCTTCCTGACTGCCATTGCCATCTTTGAGCTTGGGTAAGTAATCATCACATCCTCTATCAGTCCCGCGTACTGACAGATCAATACGTAGCTCCTTAATCTGCGCTACGGCAACGAGCAGCAATATGCTGATCGTTGGCCGAGCGATCGCTGGAGCGGGAGTAGGAGGTCTATTTACAGGTTCGATTATTATTGTTGTGTATAGTCGTAAGTTCTAGCTTACTTCAACTCACCACCCATACAAATGATTTCATCGAGACGAACAGAACTAACTTGAGAAGTACCGTTGCGTAAGAGGCCACTAGCAATGGGTATAATAAGTAGTATGTGGGGAATAGCATCAGTCGCCGGACCATTGCTCGGCGGCGTCTTTACGCAAGTCCCCCATTTACAGACATAGCATCTATAGACCCACTGACCTTCTCAAACAGCGATAAGCTTTCCTGGCGTTGGTGCTTCTACATCAAGTAAGAATATCAATACCCCATACCCCAAATCCAGAACCTCAACAAACGCCAGCTAACTCCCCCTCCCCGCCACAGCCTCCCCATCGGAGCCTTCTGTGTCGCTGTAATATCTCTCATCCTTCACATCAACCGCCCCAATAATCCCTCCTCTCTTACCCTCAAACAACGCATTTTAAAGCTCGACCTCCTCGGTGCCTCTCTCCTCATTCCTGCCATAATTTGTCTCCTCCTACCTCTCCAATGGGGCGGCTCTACTTACCCTTGGAACAGCGGCCACGTTATTGGCCTCTTCGTCACCTCAGCTATTCTCACCCTCCTATTCGTCTGCACACAAATCCGGCTCGGCGAGGCCGGAACCCTCCCTCCATACCTTTTCCAAAATCGGAATACCGTATGCGCATTCGCATTCTCCGCATTTTTCGGCGCTGGTTTCTTCAGTCTCTCCTACTATCTCCCCGTATATTTCCAAAGTGTCAAAGGCTCCTCTGCCCTGCATGCCGGAATCCAAATGCTCCCCTTACTGCTCGCATGCACGGTCAGTTCCACTGGAACCGGGGCTGCGATCTCCGCACTCGGGTACTACACCCCAATCATGCTCGTCTGCATGTTGTTGTTTGCCATTGGCTCCGGGCTACTAACCACGCTGTCGGTCAACACGTCGTATGCGCGGAACGCCGGGTTCCAGGTTCTTACCGGTCTGGGTGTGGGTGTTGGGTTCGAGAGCGGAATTATTGTCGCGCAGACGGTGATGTCAAACAAGCGGATTCCGGTGGCTATATCGTGTGTTTCGTTGTTTATGACGCTTGGTGGAGCGGTATTTGTACCGGTTTCGCAGACACTGTTTCAGAACAAGTTGGTAGGGGGGATTGAGGAGAGGGTCCCGGGGTTAGATGCGAGGGCATTCTTGGATAGTGGGGTTACGGAGATTAGGGCGCTATTGAAAACATGGGGGCAGGAGGGACAATTGGAGAAGGTATTGGAGGCGTATGCGGAGGGGTTGAGGGCGACATTTTGGGTTTCGACGGCTTGTGCTATTGGGGGTTTCTGGCCGCCTGTGGGTTGGAGTGGAAGAGTGTAAGGAAGGAGAAAAAGGAAGGGGGGCATTGACCTAGTAAGGTTGGAATAATAGGATTTTTATATACGGTGATTGACGGGAAGTTGGTTTATGAAACAAAAAATACGACTTGCATGCCATGAGGGGGTAAATGTAAACAAAATTGATAGAATATACGAATATAGAGGACAAGATATTTAGAGAAAAGAAAACAATTTTGAGAATGTGGGTAACCATCAACAGCAGATTCTCGCTTTGATAACCCGTTGAATTTATGCAAGCAACCTATATCTTAGTCAATCGGCTTATACTCCAAAAACAAGTTTCAGAATTCCCAGAGAGTACACTCGTAGTCTACTGGCGACTCGACTATATCTTTGCAATCCCGTCTTGTTCCCTTCGTGTTGTTCGCCAGACGTAATACGAGAAGATTTGCTGCCTCAAAGTTACTTGCATGGCTTTCATACCATTCTAACGAAGCGCGCGGTGGTTGTTCACTGGGATACATGTACAAATGCAACATTATAAAGAACCTTGGAATGACTTTCATTTTTCCACCACACGACGCGAACTCGACCTCAAAAGCAATTGGCATGTTCACACATACCAAAATATTAGTATATTTAACACTCAGAAGCAAAAAAGCAAGCAAAATCTGATCACTGGCGGTTTCGAACCGCCGACCTTGGCGTGCCAAACCTATCTGAATGGATAGAACAGATATTAGCACCACGCTCTAACCAACTGAGCTAAGCGACCTGGTTATTTGATGGGAGTGGGGCGCTCAAAGAGATATACATAGATGTGATGAAGTGGGTCTATTAAACGTCAAAGCTTTCCAATCAGTGGCGTACCCATTCTTGTGGTCAAATTCCGCCTGTTTTTTCTCCTACGAATAGGGTGGGTGGGGCAGGTAAGTTTAGGATCATGCTGTTTATGCTCATATTCTGTGTTGCGTTACCATTGCATGAGATAGCAAAATCAAGCCACTTTCTCATCACGAATTTTTCGACATCAACGAAATCGGAATTGGTGGCTTTCGCTCATGGTGTAACTGAAACAGAGTCTTTCGAAACACTTTTCGACAGAGGTGGTAAACAATGCTGAGGAGGGCAGATGCGATGAAGTTGCGATTGAAACAAAGAAGTACTGCTCCTTAGCTTCAGCTGTACACGGAATGCTTT